CCCTAATGCAGATGGCAGACAGCTCAGTGTCATCCAGGGATGTACCACTACCCAACCGACGGGAGCCTTATGCGGTTCGTCACTCCAAGCTCCTGGGTGAAAGTGCCAATCCCAAGACACACCAAATTACGATAAATTGTGGATAACTGATCTGCTCTTACAAGACATTAAGCAGCTTCTGCAAGACTCACGACCTTTGTCTTCTGAAACCCCCGTTCTCCTCCTGACAGGGACACAAACTTCCAACGATACTGATTACAGATGTCGGAACCGCCACATTTCAAATGAACCTGTCGTATTGCTGGTAACCGTTATATTGCGAATTATCACGTGTATGTTCTCCTGTTAGGTCCAGTCACGCGTCTACATTTTGTTGAACGGATGAATACCTTGGATCGACGCCGACACCCTACTTCATTCAACAGTTCTGACTGTGCGCCTGCTCCAAACTCTTGCTAGGCCACTGCCAAAGCAAAATATTTGCTTATTAGCCACAGAACTAGGCATCTCAGCCTAGCCTAGTTACAAACTCCATACGCTACTGTTTCCACCAGCCTCCAACCACAACGGTGCTTCGGATTCTCCTGAAAGAGTAAAGCGGAAATCTTTGTAGATCATTTCCCCCAAACTTCCTGCATGTTCCTTCCTTCTGTTGTAGCTATTTAGCCCACCACCTCATCCCAATTCTAAACAAATCTGTAAGGGAAACGTCTCTTGCTCGACATTCCGAGGCCATCAGACCATATAACATCCGCTGAACTTTGTTTCAAAATTGTGCACGAGAACATGCAATTAGTTTCTTATCAGTTTTCTCTACCTCTCAACAATCCAAACGGATTCGGGCACACCTACTCCACGGCCGAATAGCTTACGTACGGATCTCAGGTATCGCCGTCTGTTCTAAGCTGCTATCACTAGATATCTTAAGAACTTCTAAGTTTGGCATGTTGATCTTTGCCTTCTCTCTTCATCGTACTTCATTTGGTTTGAAGCACTCTATGGGTAACCACTGTATACCGCACTTTTTATCCGTCACTATTTTTGGGATGGCAGCTTGTTGCATACTTTCATGATCTGTTTATTTGAAATCTCTCCTGAAATGAGTTTTAAAGGAGAGAGAATTCATCTTCTGACCTCAATAATAATTCCGGATGAAGCAATCACCGTTTACTACAGGAGGTGCTGCTTCTCATTCCAAACATGTTGGTGAAAGATTTGAGGATATAGCTAGGAGAAACAAAAGCGCCTGCGGTCAACCTGGTTGCAGCGGATTTTCCGAACCTTCATAGTATGTGTGGTTCCCCTAAAGCATTAAGCCGAACCTAGATGTGTTCATGCTGTAACTCTCTAGACGAACTGCCTAGCTAAAGTTTACCTGTCATTCTGTCCTAGGTTTTCGTTACATGAAGTTCTCAGAGGACGCTGGGTCAAGTGCACTTATGGCGTCTGGCTCCGGTATAGATTCTCTAGAGATTCTCTACCTCTACTCTGTTGCTAGTATGAAAGATTGTCATTCGAGATGGCGTTTGGCGTCCTCCGCCAAATTTTCAGTCACACTACTCTCTTTACCCTTCAAGTTCACTTTACCAAGCAATTTACCTACTCTTCGAGTTCCTCCCTCCAACTCCTCCTTTGCTCGAATTGCAGGACTTTTGAACCCTCCACCGACTAGATTATTCCCAGCTCTCGCGACCTCCAAATGTTCAAAGCTCTTGTAAAAATGCGACTCATCAAGCCAACTTAGATACTTATATTGCTTGGTTGTTTGTCACTTTCCTCTACATGTCTTCAATGATTTTTTCTCCTCTATCTGGCAATAATTCCAGAATGCCCGAAACCTACTGACACCAAACCTCACCAAAATCGTAGTAGGGATGTCGTCAAGTGTGTAGGCCAGAAAAGCCAACTGCCGATTAAATGTTCAAGTAGCCAATCAATTCAGCAACGGCCGATGATGATGGATGTTCACTCAAAGCCGATCGTACGACCTGGATCTAGGCGGAAAGTGCGCTTTAAATACCGCGAGGGCCCTTTTTTAACTTTTGTACTTAACTGTTTGCAATTAAGCAGCTTTACTTTTTGTTGATGAGTCTTTTTCCTACACTAAGGCATTGGAGCGGGTACAGCAATTAGTTACAACGAATTCACGTTAACCAGTAATAAAAAGGTTCCAAATGACGTACATTTTCGGGGCGGTTCCTGAGCTGGTTCATGTTTCTCAGCCTGTAAAAATATACTGTAAATCGGCGTAATATACATAACATACCACCTTTGGGACGAGTGGTTTCGAACTATAGAAAGACATGCTGATGCATCAGAAAGACATAACGACAAGAGGTCCGTATGATTATCCACGTTCGAGGTACTTGTGCACGGAAGGCAATGCAATGCTTCCGGCTAAAACCAAGAAAAAAGCCAAGAATTGTTAAGCGGAATTCCAGACGTTATGCACTTTTGGTGGTTGTTTTCACGGGAACGCTAGCTTGAGAGGTTCAGATCGAGAAGTAAGTTGAGGAAACTATTATTACAAGAATCGATCCGACAACCCGTGCGATCAGTTTCATCCGTGAAATCGGGTCATTAGGGTATGCTCCGCTCGATATGGTGATGCGAAATCCTGGCACGTCAGGTGACAGTAGTTCACACAAGAACATTTTGTGATACACGAACGTCCCTTTAATTACTTTTTCCAATAGACTGCGAAAATGCACTGGTGAAATAAAGTGGCCCATCATTGGATGCAGATAATCAATTACCTTGGATACGTTGGATAACGACAACCTTTTCGCCGGTCAGGGACTTCGTCCACAGAGAAAGAGAGCTACTTGTATCAGTCTAGCAGGGGTAGCTTCAAAGGTGGTCCATGATAGTATCCTGCGCAGATCGATCCATCAAGATAAGATATCCATCAAGAGTCATTGCGCCCATTTTTCACACTAGAATTAGTGCCCGCATATGCTGTTGGGGTGCCTGCCATCGTATCATACGCTAAGGGATGCAGCTGAAAGTGTTCATGTAACATCTATTATGCCCCTGGTTAGAATGCAGTAAACTCATTCACAACTAGCAAGACCATCAAAACTACATACGTCGTTTAATAAAGATAATAATCACCAGCTCTCAGGCCATTTCACAGTAATCATCATCGTCATCGCCACCATGTGTGGTGGTTAAAGCTTCCACGGGTCCGTTCGCCGATAGCCTGGGGAAACACTCGTGGAAAACCATGTGATGAAAACGGTAGCTGACACTATTGATGTGCGAATCCGCGGGTGACAGAAAACTTCATAAAGGGTTCATCGGGAGTCATTCACTAAAAAACCACACGGATGCATGCGTACTATTGAGTGCGCAAATGGGCCACGTATGCATATATTTAGGACATTAATGTGAGTCGTTCGGAGGATCCGAATCAAGGGTCACTTCACTGAGTCACTTTCGCAGCTACAAACTGAGATACACCGGCTCCAGATGTTACAGCTTGGTTCACGGAGGATAAGGGAGCAACAGCCACGTGTTGGAGGCGATGGCCTAGTCAGTTTGTCGACGTCAAATGGTTCCGTTTGTTCGGTATGGCAGGGAACGACGACTACGAAAAAAGGCAACAGCTTTAACGCACGACCTTTATTGGCTGCGTGATAAAACCACACCTGTTAGGTTCACGAGCTGTTGATTTATTTCATTCCCCATTGTGGGATAGAACAGCTACCAGCACATTTATTCATTCACCGTTGGATCGTCTCCACCTGACGCATAGCTCGGTGTAAAGGACTCTGGGGGGTGAAATATCCTTTGCCGTAGGGAACGTGTGTCTTACCTGGTGTAACCTATGGATTGTGACCGACTGATCTAACCAGGAAGAACCTCTTCCTAAGACTACCTGGTGAACTTCAGCATAAAAAATCGTTCACCCGTGACATTCTTGCGGTGCCTAGCTGCCATGCCATCCGAAGGAAGCGCAGGGACTGGGATACTTCCAGATTGCCCAAGCCTAGACGGGGGAAGTCGAGACTCAGAGGTCGGATTCGAACCAGGGACAGTTCGGTCAGTAAGTTCGCGCAAAGCGAAAAAAAGACCAACGTTATACCAGCCAGGGAAAACTCAGCTTGGTTCTCGAAAATAGGACTCAACATGATGCACCAACCTGAGAATGGAGGCACCTTGGAAACTATGGTCATTTGAATGAAGTCCACGTGATTTTCGCACGTTCTTGCACCCTTTCGTAATACACAATTCACCGTAGAGGCGCACCATTATGTTGGTGTTCCGTCTCCGTCCCAGATATTTTAGGGACGCCGTAAGTTGCCCGCGTGCAATTTTATTGCTTCGTTGCAGCAAAGCACTTGACCAAGATGGCTTATGTGCCACGGTTTTTAAAGATGGTAAGTCACCACACTTAAAAACCATGGCACATAATCCGTCTTGGTCAAGTGCTTTGCTGCACTGAGCCATATATTGCAGCGTCTCCCACCAGGTACATTGGGAAACACCTGGTCCCAATCCCGGAAAGTGAGTTCCACCGACGAACCCCGGGAATCTTCGCGAGTGCTTTCATAAACCTCTGCCACGTCATTAGTTGACAAATTCTTTGCTTGTGCCAGCCTGCAGTGGGCATGAAAAACAGCACTCCTCAATAAAACGATGACTCGATATACACAATAAATGGCCTAGCTCCCACAGCTTTTGGGGGCTGAACAAATTATTGGACAGAAGTTCCCGTTGCAACAACCGGACATAACCAATAATCTATAGGTCTGAGACCGCCGGTGCCGAAAACCTGAAGACGTCACACTTCAGTTGCTCGAACAGACCACACCTTAAAACCACGCAACAAAACAGCCCGTCCTGTAACCAAACACACCCCTTGAGGTTCCAGGAAATGCCACTTTGACGCCATAAGTGTCTCAACTGAGCAAACGTGACCCGCATCTAAGATATTCGTGCACTGTCCTCACATGTCATACTACAATCGGGACTAATACAACTTCCGACATACGAAAAAACACCGAAAAAACTTCGATTGTGAGTGGCATTTTAGGTGACTGAATGTCTGGAAGCATGACCTTACACACTGTGCTTACAAAGAACATGTCAAAGGACGGGATGACTACTGTCAATTTGTCCGGAAGCACCTGTGACTTCTGCTCTATTAGGACCAGAACAGTCTGCATATTGCAGACCGACAAGGTTTTCACAAGAAGCGATTTGAACACCAAAGTTCGTCTCATTAGCCCGTCCATCACGAAATTAAGTAGCAATGGGGAGAGTGGACACCTCCAACGAACATCACGGAAGCCTCTGCAGAGTTCTCCGTACACTCTCACTAGCATGGAACGGTAGGAAAACAAAATGCTCCGTGAAAGTCCAGCAATACTAACACTTGAGTCGCCTGTACGTGCGACGTTGTTCCACCTGAGGGAGCGTGAAGATTCGGTCAACGCGACCCCTACAAGAACGGAATCACGTTTGCTGCTCTCGAGTAAGTGCTTTACGAGCCAAGAGTCTCAGTACGAGTGGAGTCGATCTGAGCACCCTGTGACTACCGGACTCATCGCGTCCTTTCTTAGAATGGGTAATACTGCCGACCTTCTCCAGTCGTCTAAGATAACCTCCACTTCCAGATGGATGCAGATTGCTCCGGTAAGGGCGGACTAAGGACTTCACCTCACCCATTCACAACGCGCGTAGACCGAAATTCGGATGAGCCCACTGGCAATCAATCAATCAATTTGTCATCCATACATCGTGTGCCGTAGGCACACTGGTTCCAGATGCTGCAGTTTTGATCAGCGGAAAACGGAAAAGTGGAACGCAACCAAGACTTAGAGGCGAAGCAATCAATCATCAATTTGTCATCCATACATCGTGTGCCGTAGGCACACTGGTTCCAGATGCTGCAGTTTTGATCAGCGGAAAACGGAAAAGTGGAACGCAACCAAGACTTAGAGGCGAAGGCATTTTACTTTGTTCAAAAATTGGGTAGCCACGCATTGAAGCTGATAGCTTTGATGCACTAACGCCACTGACTGCGCGATCGAACTATTTCCGTCAATGTCATTAACTACTGGTGATTTGAGTGCCGGGACCCCCATCCAGGGAGGCGGCGGTTGCCTACCCGACTAAGTTTACTGGTAAGTGTTATCGTACTTCGTTGCTGGGTCACACACTGTCCACCTTTCGGTCGCTTCCACTCAGCACAGGGTTTAGAAAAGGGGCCCTGTGAGGCAGACAGTCTTCTGGCATGCAGAGCACATGTCCAACCAGCGCAGCATATGAAGCGTGAGTAATTCATCTATCGCGGGAGATTTCCTCCTTCCAAAGACCACCTGGCGTAACTCAACATTACTAATTCGATGCTCCCATCAGACCTGACCAATGCTGCGGAGACACTCATCATCAAACACTGGCATCTTTTGTATGTCCTCTGCGCGTACGGGTCACGTCTCTGATCCATAAAGCAGTACGGATCGCATCATCGCAGTGCAAATCCTTCCCTTGATAGACAAACTCACGTTACGTCGGAGGTGTCGGAGGTTGGCAAAAGCTGCCCTAGCCTTTCAAATTCGAGAAATAATCTCATCTCCAGCCAGTTCACCAGGACTTATACAGCTGCCCAGGTAAACAAATTTATCTACCACACCAATTGACTCATGTGCAAGCATGAAGTGTGGGTTTGATCCCACCCAGTCTTGTAGCAGCATTTTACTTTTGTAGGTGTGAAGCGCATACCAAAGCGTGCGTTGCAGTTATTTAGATTATTTAAAATCGTTTGCATTTGGGAAGGATATGAACCAAGAATAGCGCTATTGTCTGCATGCCCAATGTCTGTGAGGGAAGGTCCCAGGAGCATTTTGACCCACGAGGTTCCATTGGCAGGCAGAGAAATTTTAGGCGGCATATCGATAACAAAGTTGAAGAGGAAAAGGGAAGAAAGAAGAAAGAAGAAAGCGTTCAGCTGTAGCACCCTTCCGGTGCCTAGCTGCCATGCCGCCCGAAGGAAGCACGAGGGCTGGGATACCGCCAGGCCGCCCAACCCTAGACAGGGGAAGTCGAGCGGCGGAGGTCGGATTCGAATCACGGACCTTCCGGTCAGTAAATTGCGCTCTAACCACTTGGGAAGAGGACAGCCTTGTCTTACACCACCGGACTCAGGCGAGAGCTTCCCGTATGTTCGTACACGCCCACAGGAGTTCACATACAGAGCACCCATAAGGGAGAGAAATTTGGAAGCTCATCTTTGATCGACACACACTGCCAAAGTTGTTGACGATCAACAGAATCAAAAGCAGCGTTCAAATCCGGAAAAACGACCAAAGTGAGACGTCGGAAGGAGTGGCGCTTTTCAAGAATTTGTCTCAAGGTAAAGATATGGTTGAAGCATCCTCGACCAAGCCGAAG